CACACACACACACACACACACACACACACACACACACACACACACACACACACACACACACACACACAGCATTTTTTTCTACGGGAACTGATGCAATAAGACCGTTCTGTTGTAAACCCCGCCCTCGCTGCATCCGCTGCGCTGATTGGTTTGACGCGACAGCATCTAGTCTCTCATTGGTCCGTCCGTGCGTCAGTCAGAGCGCCGTCGCGCTGCACATAGAGGGAAGGAAGCCACGTTGACATCAATTAGTGTTTTCATCGTTTGATAAACTAGAACACCGAACCGAATCTTCCGTTCACCGTGAATCTCGGCGGAGGTGAGAAAATATTTCCTAAGATGATGAAATATTTAGACAATCATGATAATGACGTATCAAGGCAGCAGCATAAGGAATCATTATTCATATGCACTGATTATACTAACAATAACAACCTATCTAGAGTGTATTTTATTGTGTTTAATAACAATATTACTGTAGTTGATGTACAGTGAAACTAAATAAATTATGCAAATGGTTTGATGTTGCAGTGTAGAGTATATTATGACTGTAATCTCTGCTACAATGTAACAAATAAGTGCAATTGATGTTACATAATTATTGCAATTTATTATTTTCCTCCAGCTTTATAACAGATTCTGTGTTAACAGTAGATTATGATACTATCAATGCCAAGGTTATGGTTTTGATTCCCAATCAATGCATGAACTGAATAAGCATATTTTTAACGCCATGCAGTGCAAGTTGCTTCAGATGAAATATGTAATTTTTATTCATGTTGTGTTTTTTTCAGGTGTGTCGGTCATCAGGATGAGTGTGGGCTTCATCGGAGCGGGTCAGCTGGCACATGCCCTGGTCAAGGGCTTCACAGCGGCGGGTGAGAAACAGGTCGAGATGACCATCCACTAACACTAACTAATGAACTTTAGTCTCTCGACTGATCAGGACCCTGTTTACATACACTACTGGTCAAAAGATCTGCTCTTCTGCTCAGCAAGGCTGCATTTATTTCATCAAAAATACTAAAAAAAATTTGAAATATATTTAGAATCTAAAACAGCGGTCTTCTGTGGTTTTATCACGGTTTAAACAAAAATATTCTGCAGCACAACTGTTTTCAACATTGATAATAATCAGAAATGTTTCTAATAATCAGCATATTAGAATGATTTCTGAAGATCATGTGACACTGAAGACTGCAGTAATGATGCTGAAAATTCAGCTGCGCATCACAGAAATACATTACAGTTTAACAGATATTCACACAGAAAACAGCTGTTTTACATTATAATAATATTAGAATGATTTCTGAAAATCATGTGACACTGAAGACTGCAGTAATGATGCTGAAAATTCAGCTGCGCATCACAGAAATACATTACAGTTTAACAGATATTCACACAGAAAACAGCTGTTTTACATTATAATAATATTTCAAAATGTTTACAGTATTTTACAGTAGCCTTGCTGAGCAGAAGCGCATATCTTTTGGCCATCATATTTCTGTGGTTCATGCAGTAACTAGTTCGTAGTGTCCATGTCTGTGAAGCTCCAGAAATGACAAACCACACAGTTAAAGTGTCATAGTGGTATTTATTCCACGTCTTGTTGTTTTTGGTTTCTGAATCGGTTCACTCCTCATATTTCATCCTTGTTTGTCTGTTTTTCAGGTGTAATTGCGGCGAACAGAATCACAGCGAGTTCACCGGACACAGATCTGCCGACAGTCTCTGGCCTGCGGGTGTGTGAACCTGAACCGAGTGTGTGTGTGAGAGTGTGAGAGTGTGTGTGTGTGAGAGTGTG